GGTGTGCACCACTACTGCCTGGTCAAATATTTTTTTAAAAAAGATAAAGACTGATTGGGTAAAGATTAGTGGTAGAGGCTTGTTTTGCAAGGATAACATGCTGGGTTTGATTCCAGCATTAAAGAAGCAATAAAGGGAATGGTTCAGTGGTTAAGAGTACTTGTTGCTTTTGCAAAGGACTTAGGTTCAGTTCCCAGCACCCACATGGTGGCTCATAAGCACCTATAATTCAGTTCCAGGATGTCTGATGCCTTCAGCTGACCTCCGTAAGCACCCATGTACAGGGAGTACAAACATACATGTAGGTGAGTCATTCATACACATAAATAAATCTTTAAAGTTTATTTAAAAAGTAATAATAATAAAAGAACCTGGGACCTCGGTGTGGTGGCCCATGTCTATAATCCCAACATTTGGAAGGCAAAAGCAGGAAGGTTACCAGTTTGAAGCTGGCCTGGGCTATGTAGTCAGGCCCTGCTCAAAAACAAAGAGGAGTTAGAGATGCCTCAACAGGTGAAGGCCCTTCCCACCAACCCCCACAACCTGAGTTCCATCTCTGGGACCCACATGGTGGAAGAAGAGAAACCAACTCCTACAGGTTGTCCTTTGACTTCCACATGTATCAATATCAAAAAGTTATAAATGTAATTAATTAAAATGTAAGAAAGGAAGGAAGAAAGAGAGAGAGAGAGAGAGAGAGAGAGAGAGAGAGAGAGAGAGAGAGAGGAAGGAAGGAAGGAAGGAAGGAAGGAAGGAAGGAAGGAAGGAAGGAAGGAAGGAAGGAAGAGAAAACCAACCAACATGGTAAGTCCCCCCAGTTGCCTGAAAGCAGCAGAAACCAGTTGAGCTGTCTGGAAGAGGTTTAGACCAGAGTTATTCAGAAAGGACACTCTCCAATCTGTGGAAGTGTCAACAGGTTGTACAGTGTGCTCCAGGTTTTCCAGCTTTTGTGAGCTGCCACCCATGCTGGGTGAGTCTTTGTGATGCGGACGTACTTAAGTCATTTCTGCTCCTATAAACCCAGTAAAATTCACTGGTTCACCAAGTTGAATTTGGGTAGCATCCATGCTTTGTCTGTGGCGGGATCTTTATCTGGGGTGAGTAGACGTGTGTGTTGCATTTCCCCCAGGAAAATTTTGTCATACAAGCATGCATACTTGTTTTTCTAAGTAAATGTTTTCTGTTGTGGTAAAACATATACAGAATAGATCTGTAGTTTTAAAAGATCATCTCACTACAATTCCCTAGTTCTCATAGGCACAAAATTCTCTAGCTGGTGCAAAAAAAATAACGAGGGTACTATAAAACTAAGTAATTGGTTATTGGTTTTGCTTTTGAAATAGGGTCTCCATGTTTCCTAGGCTAATCTTAAACTTACTACATAGCTAAGGATGACTTTGAACTTCTCATCTTTCTGCCTCCACCTCTGAGTGCTAGGGTTACAAGTATAAACCACCACACATGGCTGTGAATTGTTTTAATTTGTATGTATGTCTGTGTGGGTTTGGACATACATATGCACAGCCCACAGAGGCAAGAAGGCCATGTTTGATCCTATGAAAAAGGAGTTACACACAGCTATGAGCCACCATGTTGGTGTTGGAAATTGAACTCAGATCCTCCAGAAGTGCAACCAGTACTCTTAATCACTGTGCCATCTCTCCAGACTCCATACCTGGTTCAAGGAACTCCTAAGAATTAAACCCATGGGGCTGGAGAGATGGCTCAGAGGTTAAGAGCACTGACTGCTCTTCCAGAGGTCTTGAGTTCAATTCCCAGCAACCACATGGTGGCTCACAACCATCTACAATTCAATCTGGTGTATATGTAATAAATAAATAAATCTTTAAAAAAAAAGAATTAAACCCAGGGTTTTGTATATGCTAGGCAAGCACCCTACCAACTAAGCTAAGCCCTCAAACTAAGTAATTTGTTTAAGGAATTCACTAGATCTCTGAATGTCTGTACAATGGCAGACACAGTGCAATGTGGACTTGGAAATACAGAGAAAAACGGTTTTGGTCTTCAGAAGCTTAGATTCTGGGCTGGTATGATGGGACAGTGAGTAAAAGTGCTTGCTGTACAAGCCTGGACAACCTGAGTGCAACCCCTGGAGCCCTCCACTTGAATGCTATGGGAAAGGCAAACCCATAAACACACAATAAGCTTTTTTTATATTTAGTGCTTACAATATAGTAGAGCAGACACAAAAACATGGTATGATATGCCCTAAGGCATAAACAAGTAAAGAAAGTATAGAGGAACAGCAAGAAATGAAATCCTCCTAGGAAGAATGTATCGTTTCACCTCTGTGAGGGCTTTTAAAAGACTTTTTAACCTTTTTTCACTCTAGTTTTTGAATTCTGTCCTTTCTGTGCCCAGAATCCAGCTGGCAATCAAGCAAGTATTAGCACCACAAACAAACCCAGGACTTCTGACTTCTGGTTCAGACTTTGCATCTTGGCTGTGGCTCTGGATGGACATGTGCAGGATGCCAATACTCATGGAACTGCTCTGGAGCTCTGCTTCTGAAGCCAATTTCACAGCCAGTTTACAAACCACAAGGGAACCAAGTCTCATGAAAGTTAAACATCTTTTTTACGAGGGTAGGGAGTTGAGACAAGGCCTCATTATATGGCCCAGAGCAACTTGTAACCCTCCTGCCTATACCTCAGAGTGCTGAGATTATAGATGTAGATCAAGTCAGGATGCAAACAACAACTACTACTACTTTATCATTGATTGATTAATTTATGGTTAGACTGGAACTTGCTAGGTAAACCAAGCTGACCTAGAACCCACCTGCAAATTTTACTTCTTGTAGGTAGAGATCTCATGCACCCGAAGCACTGACCACGCCCCTTTGGGCATGGTCACAGGTCTGTGGGGGAAGGCAGAGATAAAGGAAGGGGGGGTCGTTTTCTCTCTTGGGGTCCTGGTGGAGGTCGGAGACCAACAGAGCACTGACCTCAGTTCTCGGCTTCTGATGTAACCTGTTATTTGCCTGTGCATTTGTCAATAAAGTACTGTCTGGCCAATAGAAAACCTAGATAGGAGGGACTAGGAGTCGAGGAGGATTCTGGGAAGGGGAAACACAAGAGAGTCAACATGTGACGCCATGGGGGTAGGACGCCGGGAACTATTCTCCGGTAAGAAACATACTTAGATTAACAATTATGGGGTAATTACTTAAGGCAGAGCTAGCCAGTAAGAGACAAACAAGGCCAACAGCTTCATAATTAATATAGCCTCCTGTGTGTTTATTTGGGACTCATGCAGATCTAGAACCAGGCTGGCGCGGCAGAGCCCAGGCGACTGGCGGGGGATAAACCAAAGCGGCTAGCAAAAGAAAAAGCTTCTCTTAACAGTAAGTGATTTCTCCCTAATAAAATAGCATAGGACATCCCTATCCTGTGTATGGTAATCCTCCGCATCAATTTCTGGTCAACCTGAAAACCGTTAACATATAAGCATATTTTGTGTGAGGGAACTGGGTATACATGTGGTATATATGTATGGTATGTACGTATCGACTGTGAGTGTGTGTGTGTGTGTGTGTGTGTGTGTGTGTGAGTGCCTGCGTGCGTGCGTGCGTGCGTGTGCGCGCGCACGCGCGCGCGCAGACATAAGGTTAATGTCAGGCACCTTTCTTCTCTTGCTCTCCACCTGCAGGTCACTCATTCAGGTAACTTGGCTGGCTGGCCAATGAGTTTCAGTGATCCCTCTTCTCGACTTCCCTCCATGGCTGGCATTATAGGCATGCACAGCCAAGTCCAACTTTTTACGTGGGCTCTGGGATCCCACCCCAGGTTCTTATGCTTGTAAAGCAGACATCTTACTAAATGAGCCATCTCCCCAGCCCTGCACAGTTTTTGGTTTGTTTGGTTGGTTGATTGGTTGATGTTTTTGTTTGGTTTGGTTTTCTGAGACAAGGTTTCTCTGTGTAACCCTGGCTGTTGTCCTGGAACTTGTCGAACTCAGAGATCCACCTGCCTCTACCTCCCAAGTGCTGGGATTAAAGATGTGAGCCACTATGCTTGACTGAGCTATTTTTAATCTTAATTTTTTTTGAGACAAGGTCCCACAGTATATCCCAGATGTACTAGAACTCACTATGTAGACCAGGCTGGCCTCAAACTCATAGAAGATCTGCTTGCCTCTGTCTCCTGAGTACTAGGATTAAAGGCATCTATCACCAAGCCCAATATGAACTTTAAAAGAAGTAAATCTACTTCAAATATACCAAGTCGCATACATTAAATACCCTAGCTTTTTGAATGTCAATAGAGGGAAAAATACAAAAATGTACACTCAAAAAAAAGGAGATATACAAAAATATGGCAGAGAGCTGAAACTTTAGCTCAATGGTAGAATGCCAGTGGTCAGCATTTACAAAGCCCCATATTCAATCAACCATTAGCACTGTCCTCCAAATCCATATTTTCCTTCACAACTGATGATCTGTTGTCTTCAAAGGACATAGTATTAACTATTACCAGCTAGAAAGATTTAAAAAGTACATGTAGATCAGGCATAGTGAGAAGCTGAAGCAGATGGATCTCTGTAAGTCTGAGGCAGCCTGTTCTATGTAGAGAGTTCCAGGACAACCAGGTCTACCCAGAGAGACCCTGTCTTTAAAAAAAAAGAATTAATAAGGTAGCATTTATTCATTTATTCAAAATATTTAGATTTCCTAGCACAGACCATGTAAGGAGCAAAAATGAGGAAGGCAAAACTCAGTTCTCAAGACATGCAAGGGAGAAGATGTCAACACACACACACACAGTCCAGGACAATCAAGCTGCTACTTAGCAGGCACACAGGGATGAGGACAGGAAGGCTATGTACTGTCGGCACTGGTTCTAATTCATCAAGAAATCACCAATCAGTGCTTTGCTAAGCTTATCACCTGTTATTGTTACACGAATTGATTGTATACAGGTACATTGTAAAGATAATATGGAAAGAAACCGACATTAAATCAGATATGGTGGTGTTACCTGTAGTCCTAGCTATTCAGCAGGCTGAGAGAGGAGAATCACTTGAGCCCAGGTGTTCCAGGGCAGCCTGGACAACAAAGGAGACCTCATCTCAAAAAAGAAAAACAATAATGTTAAAATTTTTCACAGAAAGGGCAAGAGAGATTAAGAACACTTCCAGTCTTCTCAGAGTTCAGATCCCAGCACTCCATGTGGATGGTTCACAACCACTTATGTCTAGCTCCCCAGGGCTTCAATGCTCTCCTTTGGCCTCTGTGGGCACATACTACATACATACACATACACATAGGTCCAGAGTTGATAAGAATTAAAGATTAGAGCTCTCAGGTTCCCCTGTGTTTCTCAGCAAGGAAATTTAGCATGTTTGGATAATGAAGCTGTTTCTAGGTGAAGGGAACTGAGTTATGCAAAGGACAGTGGCTGGAATTACCTAGGTCTGGTTCTTCTACTATGCTGAAGACACAGTTTAGATCTATTCTGTCCAGTAAGGCATCCACTAACAACACACGGCTACAGAGCACCTGAAATGTGATTAGTGTGAATTGAGATGTAATAAGTGAAAAGTACATTCTTGATTCCAAACATTAAACACGGAAAAAAGGTTGTTAAAATATCCCAGTAATAGATTTTTTTGTAATTATATATTTAAAAACTAAGATTTTGTATGTTTTGAAGTGAATAAAATGTTACAAAAATCAATTTTACCCTTTTTTACTTTTTAATGTGGCTACTAGAAAAATTTAAATTACGTATGTGGTCTACATTTGTGGCTTGCTTTCTATTTCTATTGGACACTCCTAATCCAGAGATCTGTAAATAACAGGCTAAAGCACTTAAACCCTTCAGGCAATCAAACACCATTGAGGATTTCCAACCTAAGTATTTGTGGTAGATTTGGGAAGGAGCAGAAATCATAAAGCAATCTCAGGAAAATTAGTGTGGGGGCAACATGCAGGGGAAAAACACTAGAGGCAGGTGTCAGTGTCAAAGGCAGCAAATGTCAAAGGACAAGCAGGCTGCTCGAAGATCTGTGGAAGCAACATGCTGAAAAGAGGAGGAAGAAATCAAGAGCAGCTGAGACCAGGGAAGAGTAACAGGTGCAAAGCTGACCCAGCCTGAATAACCAGGGTGCACTGCTCATTCAACTCAGCAAGCTCAACAGAGTAACTTCAGGTCTATCTTTATGTGGCAAGCTCTTTAAAAAAAAACAATTTATTTAACTTTACTTCATGTGCATTGGAGTAAAGGTGTCGGATCCCTTGGAACTGGAGTTACAGACAGTTGTGAGCTGCCATGTGGATGGTGGGAATTGATCCCTGGTCCTTTGGAAGAGCTGCCAGTGCTCTTAACCGCTGAGCCATCTCTCCAGCCCCCATGGCAAGCTCTCTTAAGAGTGGCATCAAGCGAGGCAGTGGTGAAACACACCTTTAATCCCAACAGATTAAAGCAGCAGAGGCAGGCGGATCTCTGAGTACGAGGTCAGCCTGGTCTACAGAGTGAGTTCCAGGACAGCCAGGGCTACACAGAGAAACTCTTATCTTGAAAAAATAAAAAAGAGTGGCATCAAATCTCAGACACTACAAAGAGAAGATATGCAGACAAGGCTACAAGAAATTTAAAAATAGCAATGAATAGTAAGACTAAAAGTCAAATTCATAACATAACCAAGAACTATTTTCTGGGATGCCTAACACTTGTACAGGCTCTAGTGGTGTGGCAAACAAAGCAGACGTGGACCTGAATCACAAACTGATAATAACAAAAATGAACAGGAGTTCTAAGAGACCTGAGCAGGAATAAGGAATCAGTGGACAGAGACAGGAAAAGGTCTTCAGAACTGGTCTTGGTGGCTTATACCTGTAATCCCAGCATTCAGGAGGCTAAGGCAGAACCATGGCCAAGAGTTCAAAATAAGCCTGGGCAACACAGTGAACTCCAGGGCATCCTGAGCTAGAGAAAGATACTAAAAACAAAACACCAAACACAACACAAAAAGAGAGAGGGAGATGGACTGACTCTCGAGGCATGGTGGCAAAGGTATGTAATCCCTGCGCTGGGGAAGTTGAGACAGGAGGATCATGAGTCTGAGGCCAGTAAAACCACATAGCAAGACCTAAGGAATAAATAAATTTAAAAAAAGCAAACAAAAACAGCTTTGGAGTACTACATACAATGAATACGTCAATTAAAAAACAAAGGTTGGATGTATTTGAGTTTTTTTAAGGTGCTTAATTATAAAACAGGAATAGTTTCAATTTAACATTTAAATTCTTAACCTGGGTGCAGGCAACCTAATATTACCAGTGGATTCTCCTTTCCTACCTCGCTCTGCTTCTCAGTATTCCTGCTGCCTCCTGTTTAGGAGGCGAAAATAAAACAAGTAAAAGGGTAAGAAACCAAACAGGCCAAAGATTAAACCTAGCTGTATGGCTCTTGGGAGCCCTTGTCCTCATTCCTATAACAGTGAAAGTTTCTGCCCCATAGGTTTGAGGTAAAGATTTAAAAAGTAACATAGAGAGGCTGGCACATTGTAAACACACAACAAACATAAAGCCAATCCTGACATTTGAACAAAAGTATTGTTTTGATTTTAAACAGGTTAGAGCTATTTGAGGGGAAGATTTCAAGGGTATGATGGGTTAACAGACATGCAGCATGGACTGTTTCCTCACTCCTCTAAGTCCCATAAGAAACTGCACTGCTCAAATAATTAAGTTTAGGACATCCCTTAAAGACAGTCCAGAACTAAGCTGGGCCTCTATAATCCAACACACAGGTGGCAGAGGTAGGCAGATTTCTATGAGTTCCAGGCCAGTCAAAACTACACAGTGAAACCTTGTCTCAAAAAAAAAACCAAAGAAAAGAGACAGACATCATAAACCTCATCCCTGCATCCAAGTAGGACAAGCCAGACTGAGCTGAATTCTGGATACCGGTGAATGCGCCTGCCTACCTGTAGGGACAACTACACTGATAACCCTCCCACTCACTGCAGCGATACCTCACACTGCAAGTGCAAGACCTTGTCCACCGTCCACATCCACGATCTTTAAGGAGCGTTTACAACCCACCGCAAACACATACAGTTTTAAAGAACTGACATGTCCCACAAACGAAGAGAAACAGCATTAAACCTTCACAAAAGGCTTAGGGTGTGTGATTTTTGCTTATTGCTACGTATAACTATTAAGGACATACAAATGATGTTTTGTTCATGGGGTTTTGGTTGGTCCTTTTTATTCACCGAGTCAAAAGAATAAAACAGCCAAAAGACACATGAGAAAGCATGGAGCTAAAAGTCCCAGATGGGTGACCTGTGCCCAAGACTTATGGCTGCTGTTACTTGGTGTCGTTAGCCACTGTAGTGAATTTCGCTGGACCAGATATTTAGCCTCTGTGGACTAAGAAATCCGTTAGTTTGAAATTAAAGGGCGCCGGACCAGCGGAAGGTGGCAAACCCTCCCCCCGGGCTGTTTCCAACCCTGCCACCCCTCCGCCCCCGTTTGTTTCCTCGTCCAAAGTGTGCAATGGTAGCCCCTCACGCAGCTCTCGAGGGAAGGCCGTGGAAACCCTGCCATCAGCTCCTGCACACAAGCCTGCGCGCCCGCCGCGCGGGGACACCGGATGCTCGCGCCCCGCCGCCAGGCAGACTCAGCTCCGAGGGCCTCGCAGCCCCGAAGGCCCCAGGCGACGCGAAGCGCTCGGACTGCCGCTGGCCCACCCGGAAGCCCTTCCTCGGCTCACACCTGCCGGCGCGTGACGCCGGTCTGTCGCCGCCGCACTCACGACTCAGAACGCCCAGGCCCTCGCGACCGGCGTGACCGCGCGCCCCTCACACACCCCTCCCCCGCCCCGCGTCTACACACACCGCGATCCCAGAGCGCGCCCGGGGCCCGAGCTCCCTGGCCCGCCGCGGCCCACCCCGGCCCCGCGCGCTCCCGCCCCACCCGCCCACCCACCCCGCCCGGCTCGCTCCCGGCGCGCGCGCGCTCGCGGAGGACACACACACACGCGGCGCCTCGGCGGGCCGCGGCGCGCGCTCCCGAGGGCGTCCTCAGGCGCCCACCCTGGGCCGCCCCGCGAGGCCCGGCGGCTGGCGAGGAAGAGGAAGGCCCGCGAGGCCCACAGTCCTCACTCACCGCTGAGCCGCGCCGGCTCCGAGTGCGCGTCGTTCCGCTGTGGAGCCCAGCGGTGACCGCGGTCCCCGCTTCTCCGCAAGCTGTGGAGGCGACGTCGCGGGGAGGCTGAAAGGCGAGGGGTGTCACTGTCGCTCGCTTCACCTTCCCGAAGCTCGGGGACCCCAGAAACTAAAAACAAAATAAACAAACTTTCCCCTCCGCCTCCCTCCCCCAAAACCACAACACAAACACTCGGCGGCCCGCCCACAGCTCCATCTCATTGGCCGAGGGCAGGGTGCCCCTAGATTTCACTGGCTAGCTTTCGTGCCCGTCAAGATGCTGTTCCTCCTCTCTTAAGTCCTCGCCGCTGTCGTCTCCCCTCATTGGCTAAGTGCTTCCCGTTTGCTGAGCTGGGATTGGCTGAGCGGCCTGCGCCAATCATGAGGGGACACACCCCCTCAGCATCCCAGAGGCCGCTTCCTCGGTCGCGGACCCAGAGAGACGAAGGGGAAATTAGAGCATGATGGCGGCCGAGCTCGCCCAGCGCAGTCATCATCTTTTCCCTACTTTTTTCTTTTTAGCTCATTAGTGCCTCTCTCAGGCGCTGTTTCTCGCAAGTCCCTTTCTCCATTCGAGTCTGCCCTAATAACGGAATCTATACGTGCCGGCTCCTGGATTTATCCCCTCCGAAGAGCAGACTGTGGGTTGCTTGTGCGTCATTGGACTGTCAGGATGTCGCTCGCGAGTCACATCCTTAAACCATTGGTGGAACAGCCAACAAGCGGCCAACAACAAGGGCCCGTGCCATTGGTTTGATTCCACTGTTTGTTTGTTTTTTTCCTGGTTTCTTATTGGGCGCTTCGGTGCTGTCCATCAGATCCGGATTCGCCGCTCTACAGTTTAGCTGAGGAGAGGGGTGTCTTTGGTCCTTGGTAATCGACAGTAATAACTACTATCATTTATTGTGGGTGTATTTTATGCCAAGAAACGGTGCTGAATTCTTTACAGAAACTATTTGATTAAATCCAAATTTTTACAGAAAGCAGGGCTAAAAGAGGTTAAGGAACTTACTCAAGGTCACCCATTTAGAAAGTTGTTGGGCCATACATTGATTCGTAGGCCTGACTCAACAGTCTGCACTCGTTTAACCCTGCATTAGTGCCTCTGAATAATACCTGCTAGTCAACCCAACATCACAAAACTGTTTCTTTCAAAACCCAAGTTCCGTATTTAGTTTCCGGCAATAACATTATTGTAGACTAACAAGGGAACGATTGTCATAAACATTATTGGAGACTAACTTCGGAGAAACTGTCATTTTCTCCATGACATCTTCCTCCTAGGATCCATTCTTCCCCATTCTAAGTTAAACAAATATTTCCCGACAAGAAGCACATATAAATATATTTTCAGTTTCTTTGGCTTTGTAAATGACTATTTTTACCACCCTCATGTGCCATAGCAATTCTCATACCCATCGTTGACCACCTTTAGCCTGCTCCTTTGCAA